CACCATAACTGACTTTATTTAAAGGGCAAGAAATATACATGACAATTCCCCTGCTATTAGTATGCTTTAGTTATTCCCTAAAAATTTTAACAAGCATCAAAGCTAGGCACAGTGGCTCAGGCCTGTAATTCTAGCAACTCCAGAGGCTGAGGCAGGAGGATCTCAAGTTTGAGGCCAGCCTCACCAATTTAGTGAGACTCTTAGCAATTAGGCAAGACACTATCTCAAAATAAAAAACAAAAAAGGACTGGGGATATAGTTCAGTGGTAAAGCACTCTTGGTTCTAATTCCCAGTAACAAAGCAAAAAAAAAAAAGAGTGGCAAAAGTGGCAAATGCCCAATGTTCTCTCTGATAAGCTGATGCTGATCCATAATGGGGGAGGGCAAAAGGGAGGAAGTATGGGGGCAGGAAAGAAAAGGAAATGCAATGGATATTATTACCCTAGATACATATATGACTGCATGTAAGGTGCGGTGCTACAATTGTATACAATGTGCTGCAATTGTGTACAATGAATCAAAATGGGTTGATAAGGATAATACAGTTTTTTAATACTGATGACTCAACCAAATGAAGGAAATCAAATCTTGCTTTTAAGAAAAAAATAATTAGTTTATTTATTTATTTTTATGTGTTGCTAAGAATCAAACCCAGTGCCTCACACATGCTAGGCAAGCACCTGTCACTGATCTACAGCCCCAGCTCCAATTTTTGTTTATTTTTTACCAAAATAGTAGCTAATAAAAATCACCGGTCTGGGGGCTGGGATTGTGGCTCAGTGGTACAGGGCTTACCTATCATGTGTGATACACTGGGTTCAATTCTCAGCACCATATATAAATAAGTAAATAAATGTCCATTGACAACTAAAAAAAAAAAAAAATCACTGGTCTGAGAAATTTCTAATTAGACAAAACTCATTTTGAGCTCATATCACATCAACTAAGGAAGCCTAAGATTCAAGCATCTGATATTTTTTGTAATTTTTTACTGCTCTTTACAATTAGGCCCCTGGGATAGTTATCTGTTGATTTATTTTAGTCATCAGAAAAGGAAGAAATCACATTGGACTAAAAGTAAAAAGTCAAGAGTTTGGTCTAACACTAGATAATTACTAAGAAACTCTTTACTCTAAATTCCTACAGATATTACAAATAATAATATGAACAAATAGCCTTTCTTTTATTAAATAATTTGTTTTGTAAAATGTTTATGCAGAAAAAAATTTATTCAATGTTTATCTTAAACTGAGGCTAATTAGTTTATGGCACAAAGAAAATGATTCAGGAATTTCTAGGATTGAGCAAAGTTTAATTCTTAATTTCTTTGAGATTTGGATCTATCTGTTTCTGAGAAAAAGATTCCTTAAGCATGCACATGCCAAATCATTAACATTTCATTTCTTCCACATTTTCTCAAATATTTATGTCTTCATATTTTTATAACTACAAAGTTCATTTGATTGTTTCTAAGTTTAAAAATAAATATCAGAAGAATACAAACGCAAAAATTGTTTTAAACTGCACTTTAAAGTTTTAACTCCACTATAGACACACCTACACAGACACATGACATCATTCTAGGAAGACTGCAATATGGAGACTTGAATTTCAATACAAATATCTAAGAATATCTGTTTATAATCCCCAACATATCCTAAGTCTGCCGATTAAGCTATTTAACCTTAGCAATGCCCTCCCAAATAAAGTTTATTTTGAAAATAAAGAAGAATATGTCATCAATTTCTGCTATCACCTTAAAAAAAAAAAAAAAAGGAAGCCAGGCACATCCTGTAATCCCAGCGGCTCAGGAGGCTGAGGCAGGAGGATTGTGAGTTCAAAGCCAGCCTTAGCAAAAAGCGGGGCACTAAGCAACTCAGTAAGATCCTGTCTCTAAATAAAATACAAAATAGGGCTGTGGATGTGGCTCAGTGATCAATTGCCCCTGAGTTCAATCCCTGGTTCCTCGCACCCCGCCAAAAAAAGCAAAGAAAAAAGAAACAAAGGAGGTTTCTTCTTTAAAATATACTGAAAAAATCATGTATTTTATATATCAAAAACTTGAAGACAACTAAAAAAAAATGTACAATGAATCAAAATGCATTCTGCTGTCATACTGTTTTACACAGATTTAAGATTTCTCTAACACTTAAAATTTCTAAAGTACATACATCAAAATGTGATTAAATAATACATCAAAACACAATTGAGCTGGGCACAGTGGCATACACCTGTAATCCCAGCTACTTGAGAGGCTGAGACAGATCATAAATTTGAGGCCAACCTGGGCACTTAACAAGACCCAGTCTCAAAAATAAAAAATGAAAAAGGGCTGGGGATTTAGCTCAGTAGTACAGTGTTTTCCTAACATTCATGAGGCCCTGGAATTGATTTCCAGCACTGGGAAAAAAAAAAAAAAAAAGATTCCTTCACTGCCTACATTGACTGTATGCAAGAAGGGCAACACTTAAAGACTTTCATCAATTAATAAAAACCCTTTATATATCTTTATATTTATCAGAAACTTAGTATGTTACTTGACAATTACCTTTTCTGTAATAGGGAAGAGAAGTAACACTGCACAGACTGGTCTTGGTACCATGCTAAGGAGTTCAGGATCCATTCCATAAACATCGACAAACTGCCAGTCAGGATGTAGACCTAATTGTTTGAGAAACTAATAAAAGAAAGGGGTAAAAAAACAAATAAGCATTAAAATGTTAACTGGTAAAAGAAAAACCAGCATAGCATTAACAGGGAAGTGAAATGATCAACAAGTACATACTACATATCAAATACATAAAAGGGAACGTAATACAAATATTAATGATGCCCAATAAGGATGTGGTAAAGCAGCATATATCAAAATACCAAGTATACATCATAAATACATGTAGTCTCTACTTATCAATTATACCATATCAAATGTGAGTGGGGGAAAAAAGCAGTAAATCATTCTTTCCATGAATACAGTGGGATGAGACAGCAATTTATTTATCACATAACAAACATTTAAAATTCATAGAATATGAAACAAACTTCTTTTCAAAATCTATTACTTTGAAATTGAATATAATAAGCCAAATCTTAACCAAATACGTACAAGTTGGCTTGACTGATATGTTAAACTCATTTTCAATCCCTGATTATTTCCCCCCCAATATTGGGAATTGAACTTAAGGGCACTCTACCACTGAATACATCTCGAGCCCTTGTTATTTTCTATTTTGAGACAAGGTCTCGCTAATTTGCCGAGGCTGACCTTAAATTTGTGATCCTCCTACTTCAGCCTTTACAAGCACGTACCACCACACCAAGCTCTAGATAAGCTTAACAAGCAATGTAGTCAATTAAAGAATCTCTCTGGGCATGAAAGAACTTACAGAATGGGAGAAAATCTTTGCCAGCTGCTCCTCTGACAAGAGATTGATATCCAGAATATATGAATAACTCAAAAACTTTACCACCAAAAAAACAAACAACCCAACCAATAACAAAGCAAAGAGAATTTGGAGCTAGGATTGTGGCTCAGCAGTAGAGTGCTCACCTAGCATGTGAGAGGCCCTGAATTCAATCCTCAGCACCACATAAAAACAAAATAAAGGGGGCTAGGATTGTGGCTCAGCGGTAGATCACTCGTCTAGCATGTGCGAGGCCCTGGGTTCAATCCTCAGCACCATATAAAAATAAAATAAATACAATAAAGATATTGTGTTCAATTACAACTAAAAAATGAATATTTAAAAAATAAATAAATAAAAATAAAGATGTGTCCAACTACAACTAAAAACAATATTTTTTAAAAAAAGAGAATTTAACAGATATTTTCCCAAAGAAGAAACACAGCCAACAAATATATGAAAAAAATGTTCAACATCTCTAGCAATTAGAGAAATGCAAATCAAAACTACACTAAGATTTCATCTCCAGTCAGAATATCCATTATCAAGAACACAAATAATAATAAATGCTGATGAGAATGTAGGGGGAAAGGTGCACTCATACATCACTGGTGGGACTACAAATGGTATAACCACTCTAGAAAAGAGTATGGAGATTCCTCAAAAACTAGGTATGGAAACATCATATGACCCAAATGTCCCACTCAAAAGAACCAAAATCAGTATACTATAGTGATACAGCCACTTCAATGTTTATAGCAGCATAATTCACAACAGCCAGATTATGTGATCACTCCAGATGCACATCAATAGATGAATGGATCAAGAAAATGTGATATAAAAACACAATGGAGTTCTGCTCAGTCTCAAAAGAATAATGAAATTATGGCATCTGTCAGTAAATAGAGATGGAGAACATCATGCTAAGTGAAATAAGCCAGACTCAGAAAATCAAGGGTCAAATGTTCCCTCTCATATGTGACAGCTAGAACAAAATAAGGGAAAGAAGATGGCAGGAGGAAAGGGGTAGGGGATTGAATATCATTAATATACATGAATAACTCAAAAAATTTACCACCAAAAAAAACAAACAAGCCAACCAATAAAAAAGCAAGAGAATTTGGGGCTAGGATTGTGGCTCAGCAGTAGAGTGCTCAAAGGAGAAGGAGGAGATCAAGAAAGGAGGAGGAGGAATGGGAAAGGGGAAGAAATATGGAATGAATAACAAAATCCCATTATATGCTTCTGTAAATATACCACAGGAAATTTCACCTTCATGTATATGTATAAAATACCAATCAAAAATAAATAAAGGAGCAAAGGGAAGATCAGTAGAGTAGAGAAAGGAGACTAGGCAGAGGGAGCCAGGAAAGAAAGGGGTGGAAAGCAGGGACTGAAATCAAATTCCGTGTATATAAGATTTTGTCAAAATGAACCCAACTACTATGTATAACTGTAATGCTCTAATAAAAAAATTTAAGAACCTCTATTGGCAGAATATGCTCAACATCTATTACATTCATAATTGCATCAAGTCACATACAATAGTCTGGGCCCTGGAAATCAATGGATAACCTATATTATATTCATTCTTTACCTGATTCCTATTCATGTCTTCAGATTTAATAAAGTTCACTAACACACTACAAACTATTTTCCTTTCCCTTCTCCAAATTTCCTACTTAAAGTCCTTTTCAATAGTCAATTTTATCTAGTAACCAAAAAGAATAAAAGCTGATTTCAAACTCAAGGGAAAGAACTCTTTTTAATCCCATTGCTTAGTAATGTACCTGGACACACTAGAGATACTGAAACTATATTTCTTGAACTAAACTAAAAAGTATATATGTCTATTTTAATAGATAACCTAGCTAGTCATCTCTCAACATGTGTCAGTTAGGCTTACGTTAATAACTAATTTTTAATATATTTGTTTATTTTGTGTTAATTAAAGAGGTAAACAAGACACACTTGGCTCTTAATCTAAAACTTAGCATTCATTTAATCAACTCTGAATACTACCTACAAAGAAGTAGTGGCTCTAAAAGGTACCATTAAAGAAAAATATCACAAACCCTGATTAGAGAATTTAAATTTATTTGCTAATTTTTTGTATGCACAAAGTCATACTATTATAAAGTTATAAAACAATATTGTTCACATGACAGCATAATTTAACATCTGTGGTGCAAATTAAAAACAACAAACATTTTAGCGAAAAAGTAGCCTGGAAAAAATTGGTTCAATTATTGAATAATAAAGGGTCTTCACTATAAATCTACTCAATATCAGCCAAAGATAACAAGTATGCAAGATTCAAGATCTAAAGAAAGCAACTGTAGTGAGACTGATTAGTATCAAACTGAGGACACAATGAATAATTACTTAGCATATTCATCATAAATTTTAACCTTTTTTAAAACTTTTTATTTCTATCACCAATCAAAGAAATTCAATTCAATAAATATCTATTAAGTACATTAGTTACATCCTCAGGCTCCAGAATGCCTTAAGTTAGACACATTGGAAGTCACCATGAGAATAAAAAATAAAAGCACTATCAAGACTAATTGTCCCTGGAATTGGAAAGAAAAGGTAGAGAAGAGTATTCAACTTTTACCTCTCATTTAAAAAAAAAAAATCATGAAAATGTTATACTTTTATCAGCCTGCCTTTATTTGTTTATTTTTATGTGGTTCGAAAGATCAAACCCAGTGCCTCACACATGCTTAGCCAAGTGCTCTGCCACTGAGCTACAGCCCCAGCCTTGAAAACCTGTGTTATTTAAAAGGAAACCTGTGTTTAAAATTATCATGTGAAAATTTAAGAAAGTTAAAGAAATTTTCTAAAATGGTGTGAACCCAACTTTTTATTTTCTAATATTTTAAAAATGTGCTATTTTTATTTCATAATAGTTATATGTAATTTGTAAGTTATACATCTATATATGACACTAGTCTTCTGGATTTTCTGTCTGAAATACTGGGTAATAAAATAACAAGAAAATTCGACTGATCAGCTCACTGAATTTTCATGTTTCCACAATTATAGCCAATTGAGAAACATAATTAATAAAATACAACATGTGTCACTGAGGAATTTTTTTAGTCCACTTTTCTTCCCCTTGTGGTATAGAGATTAAATGCAGGGTCTTGTGCATTGTAAGCAAGTGCTCTACCACTGAGCTACATTCCCCAGCCATATTTTTTTAACAACTATTTTAATTTACAAAGTAATACCAATTTTCAAAAAAATAAATAGAAGGACATCTATATATTTTGTGGAGAAGGGTACCAGGGATTGAACTCAGGGGCACTTGACCACTGAGCCACATCCCCAGCCCTATTTTGTATTTTATTTATAGACAAGGTCTCTCTAGGTTGCTTTGCGCCTTGCTTTTGCTGAGGCTGGTTTTTGAACTTGTGATCCTCCTGCCTCAGCCTCCGGAGACACTGGGAACCACTGGGATTACAGGCGTGTGCCACCACGACCCGCAGAACGTATCTTTTGAGACAGACTTTTGCTAAGTTACTTAGTTTGGCCTCTAACTTGCAATCCTCCTGCCTCAGCCACCCAAGTAGCTGAGATTATAGGTATGCTTTACAGTACTCTGATAATTTATATTTTATTCTATGCTCAAATGACAGATTTTTCACCAGAAAAAAAAATTAAAATTATTAGTAAATATTTTCTAAGGCTGTTACATATCCGAAGCTAGGAGTTTTACCACTTTCCCTTTTCTACTAATGGCAAGGCAGGTTTCATTAACCAATGAGAAAACTGAGTCTGGGAGGTGAAGTGATATTTTTAAGATCTCACTGCTAAACTGCTCATGCAAGGACCTGGATGCTCTTGGACCTAACCACATCTCTCTGTACCTGGAGTATCTTTCAGCACCTGTTTTCTTTTCTTTCTTTCTTTCTTTTTTTTGTAACGGGGGATTAAAATTAGGGGCACTGGATCACTGAGCCGCATCCCCAGCCCTATTTTGTATTTCATTTAGAGACAGGGTCTCAATGAGTTGCTCAGTACCTCGCTTTTGCTGAGGCTGGCTTTGAATTTGTGATCCTCCTGCCTCAGCCTCCAGAACCGCTGGGATTACAGACGTGTGCCAACACGCACAGTAGTACCCTATTTTCTAACTTTAGTCACAATGAACTCTTAAGAGTTCTATAAGAATTATCAATTTCCTTCAGGTTTTTACATGCAACCTATCAAAAAATTGTTAGTCCCCCCCTCATTTTGGGGGTGAAATTCAAATAACAAAATCTCTGAT